GAGCGGAAAATCGATCATATTTAGCCGAATGACTCTCGGCCCAGAGTCCTACAGAAAGCTGTCTGCAATCATCCCCCCCAAACAACACACCATTAATATTAATGTCTGGCTCTCTGGATGAAAGATTGTTTGCAAAAATAATAATAACAACAATTCATAAAACAAAGCATTTTCATACTTTATTTGAAGTTCTATTTCATATATTCTTCACTTCCTGCCACTTATTTTGTTTTTCTGCAGCTAAAAAGTGAATTCTGAGCTTAAATCCAACTAAATCTGCTTTTGCTCATTGTTTAAAGCAATAATGAGTCTCAAAAACACCATAAAGTTTAAACACATCTGTAATAGTTGCTACATGACCTTAAGAAAGCAGCACATGTAGAAATAACCTGTTTACAGATTATGGGTGCTCCTGATCATGCATTAAGAGATGCACCAAATCCCTCTCATGCATTTTCATTATTATAAATCTAACTTTGCTTATTTTAGACTATAGAGCCACATGAATGATTTGACTCTACAATTGATGCACAGGTTATCAAAGCAGGATTATTTTAAGTAAAGTACGCATTCAGGCACCTTGATTCATTATTAAAGCTCCAGAGTGTCGCATTCAGAAACTGTCCTTAGTGAATTCATAACCTAGCCAAAAATCCCAGCATGGGACATACGATTAACATAACTCAGAGCAGTCATTTACAATAGGCGAGCACTAGAAAGTGGAACCTCAGCACTCTAACACATTGTCAGCCTTATTTAAATAATCAGTGAAAAATGAATTTTTGTTTCTGGAGGTGTTGCGTAACCATAACGACCATATTAGTGCCACATTGCTGCCAGCACACTGCTCCCCGTTGACAGATGTGTTGTCATCAAATTTTGAATTTATTGTGGTTTTTCAGTTGACAGTTTGGAAGAATATGCCAGGAAATTAGCACTTCGTGGCCTTGAAGATCTATTTTCCTTAAAAGGAAAACTATTTTTTTGAATACTCTGGTCTTTTGTTTTCATGTGTTAGAGAGATTAAAGGCAGAATATGGAACAATGTAAGAAAATAAAAATATTTTTAAATAATTCCTTCACAGGGTGATTAGAGGTGTGCAGAATGAAAGTGCAGTATTATTCAAAAGCTATATTTTGATTTTAAAAATCATATATTTATTTTAACGGGCATAACACTGAGTTTATGTTCACATTTACCGGCCACTGGAGGGCACCATTGCAGGTTGCCAAACAGTTCGCTCGGCACAGCGAGGCTGGCCCTGTAGGCAAACTCTGTTAGTCAAGCAGCTGCTTCTGAACCCAGAACATGTCGTTATCCTTCTCAGTAGAGGAGCGACCACAAAAGATCTAAAACCAGAGTGAGTCTAGGTGAATCCCAAGGCGTTCTCTGGCCAGCTGAGAAACACAATCCCTCCAGTGTGTCCTGGGTCTTCCTTTAGGTCTCCTCCCAGTTGAACGTGCCCAGGAAACCTCATCAGGGAGGCGTTCGGGGCGCCAGAGCCACCTCAACTCGCTCCTCTCGATGTGAAGGAGCAGCGGTGTCTACTCCAAGCTCCTCCTAGTTGACCAAGGTTCTCACCCTATCTCTAAAGCTGGGCGTACACTGTGCGACTTTTTCACCTTTTTGAGCCGATTTTCCACTGTAACGTGAGGAAATATGGGTTTTCTGTCACAATGGTGGTGTTGGACGCAGCTGGGTCATAGCTAGGTCGCTGAGAACTTTCACCCACAGATTAAGACCTGAACGCCAGCGAGTCTGGGAGGAAACCATAACATCTGCCACCTGCAGTCTACCAGAAGATGTGTTTACATGAGTTGTACCCAGACCAAGTCAAAACATAAAGTTTAAACTTCTTTTTCTTGATTTTAATGTTAAAATAACCATTATCATTTTGCTCATTATAAATGTGTTTAATCAAATGAATGACTATTATGCTTTGGGGTAATTATAATGAATTAATGAATCCACACTTAAGTAGATAATGTTGAATGTGTGGTACTGACCTTCACACTCAAGCACACAAACATTCACACACACCCACACACATCTGCCCACAGTAAACTCCAGACACATTTGATGACGCACATGTTTTGCTTTGAGAAGAAAAAGGTTTTTGGTAAGTTTTCAGTCTTATGATTCAGTTCGTGTTGGGCAACGAGAGAGGAAGGACTTGTGAACAACCGCTAACGGGGAACGGAGCCCATGGGCTCAATCCCCCCCCCCCCCCCCCCCTTCTCTCACGCTGTTTCTGCCACGCCAGGCAGAATAGCTGAATCGCAACTTCTAACGCAGACTCATTACCGAGTCTTTTGATTTCTGAGTGAATTAACTTAAGAAAGCGCGTCGACAAAACGCTTTACCATCAACGTGTACCGAGGGCAACTCTGGACCGGGTCCGTTCGACACCTCGTCTCCTGTCAGCCGCCGGTGTCATCTGGATGAACCAACATCCTCCACGGCCCGGATCCGAAAGAGGGTCCACAAGAATGCGGTGAGACAGAACACGGTGTTTAGCGTTTTGATGCATCTTTTCCAACTAAAAACCTAAGTTTATTCAAACCATCACTTTTCACTCAGACACCTGTTTCTTCCTGAAGCAAAATCAGATGCACACACGCATCCATCTCACCTCAGATCACTCCCACAACATTCTCAATCTTCATAAATTCACCAGAAGGTCTATTTGAGCAAGAACAGCATATAAACTGTTAAAAGATTGTCCCACAAAGTTGCCAATGTGATTGTTATTTCCTGTTTGTCAATTTTCAAAATCATTAGTTTAATTTGAAGAATTAAAACTTTTAATCCTTCAAACTGGTTTCCTCATTGAACTGAAACACAGACACTCAGATATTATCGGCATTTTATGGATGAAAACAACCTTTGAGTCTTCTGAACAAAATAAAATTTGGTTATTGATTTATTAAAATTAATATTCCGAATTAATACGTAGCATGGTTTCTCTTTCATAAAAGAGCATAAATCCATTACGCTACACCACTCTTGCGAGAATCCACAAGATCGGGGGCGAGTTTTGCGCCAAGCGTCTTGTAGTGTACAGGGGGTTACGAGAGGCGATTAACACCACGCGACCAGCTACCGATCAGCAATCGTGAGCTCGCACAAACTTCTGGAGTGTTTAATATTTTGCTCGTCCCTCGTGAGGGTATCGCACTGTTGAAGCGGCGCTGCGAGCAGCTGCGACCCAAAAACTGCTCAAGCCGCATGCGCAATCATGCACCGCTCTCCCGCTATTTCCCTAATAACACATGTTGTTCGTTTTTATTTCTACATGTTTTTTACTCACAAAGATTGTCAAGAAAGTGTGTTTGTCGTGTTCATGTCAAATTAAACTGATCACAAAACACAGATTTACTTTCTTTATTTTGTTTTCCTCATCCACCCCCCATAAATCCCTGTGTCCTCCTGCAGCACTCCCGAAGGACAACAGGCAAAACAAGACAAAAAAGTCTGACGTATTGAGTAAAAACTGCTATTTTTAGCACATTTTTAGGGCCGACCTGTTGCTATCAGATGTACAGTGTGAGCAGTCAGGTCGCATCCGAGAACTGGGTCGTACAGTGAGAGCACATGACTCATGAGATCTGCTCTGCGAGGAAGTCGTACAGTTTGAGCTGAAGCTGAGTGCTACGAGTGAAAAAGTCGCATAGTGTACGCCCGGCTTTAGTGAGAGCCCAGACACTCTGCAGAGAAAACTCATTTTGGCCACTTGTATCTGTGATCTCGTTCTTTTGGTCACTACCCAAAGCTCGTGACTAAAGGGGAGGGTAGGAACGTAGATGAAACGGGTAGAGAAAAATGAAAAAAAAAATTCAATCTGAGCCATATTTATGATATTTAAATGCCAATAATGCTTTCAGAGATTTTTTTCCTGAAACACAGTCCTCCCGAGCTTGTTTAGTTGTCATTGAATTTTACGTTTTGTTATTAATCTCATCAGCAGCATTAAGTCAAAGGTTTAATTTGGCATCTCAATTCTTATAAATCAAACCAGCTTATTTTCTTGTTCCAAAGCTCTTGATCTTATCAGACCTTTGGTTTTATGTACAGCATTAAACAATAATTGCCTCCTGAAGGACTACGTAGCTTTCATTAAACTGAAAAGGTCAAAAGTGTCTCGTGCAGCGAATCTCCTTTTCATTGGACATCTTTTAAAAGGGCTGACATGATAAAGCCACATCCAGGTAATAACAGCACTGAGCAGCTCTACAACCCATCAACATCCACCGGCACGTGAAAGCCACCCTGAAATTTTTATTTGCAGAGACAGGACACAGCAGAAAAACAAACACCCAAAGACACCTCGACATTTGAAAAAGACAACAATTTATTCAGAGCTACATGCTTTTTTTTTTTTTTTTTTTTTTGCAGTGCTAAAGTGCACATTGATGGCGTCATGATTATATTGGCTGCTCGTGCGTTTGAGATGCTAACAGTCACTCAGGGCTTTTTAACACTCTCTCACACACATGCTACACAAAAGCATGAACACAGCAGCTTAAGGACACACAGAATCAAATGGAGACAGGTGATGGTGCTGGGTGGTGGGATGTGTGAATTCCAACCCCAGAGAACATCTGCCTTGTCTGTTTGGATTAGAAGCACTGGTTCTATTTTTGGAGCAGCTTCAGCACGAGGAGAGGAGACATTTTAATACAAAGCTATAAAATCAGTGAGAGGATTTCATTTAGGCACTTGTTCCTGTGTTGGAATGAGTGAATAATGTTTGTTTTGATCTAATCGAGACTAAAACCATCAATCGACGTTTAATTTTGATACTGTGCCGATTAGAATCAAACCAGTGAACCAACTCTTAATTAATTTAGCTTATGAGCCATCTGGCTGATGATCAACCAAACATTTTATGTGCCAAATTGGAGGAATCTTCCAAAAGTGGTGGCTTTTTAATCAGCAATGATCAACTCAACACAACTGCCAACTTCCCATCAGACGTTTGGGCATCATTAGGACTCACCACTCGTGCTGAGGCTCATCAATGACCAACAGGACCTTGAACTTCTTGGAGAGGGAAGAAGATGGAGCCGACTGCTCTACAAAACCAGCGGCGGACGCAGCCGTCTGTTTGACCACGTTGGTGATGGAGCTGAAGGAGCTGAAGAAGCCAGAGGAGGAGGAGGACTGGGCCTGTTGGGGTTGCTGAGCCTGCTGGGTCGGGTGCCGGTCCTGAGATGCCGGGGAGCTGGCGGGCACCTGGGCCGGTGCAGGAGCTTTGGTTGGGGACTGGGCAGGGGCAGGAGCTGCGGAAGTGGCTTCACCCTGCTGGGAGGGAGAGGAGGCGGTGGGGGGTGGAGGAGCAGGAGGTTCAGGCCTCTGAAGGTCTGACATGTAGCCATTGGGCAGGTTGGACATGAAGCTGCTGTCAGAGAGTCGACGCCGGAGGAAGTTCATGATTTCGTTTGAATGGTGGACCGCTCAGCCGCTTGGGAAGTGTTTACTTTGACTGTACGTCTCCTGGATTCCAGGCTGAATGCAGCAAAAGCAAAATGGGATCAAAGGTTAGACGATTGAGAGAGAAAGCAGTTCAGTCCCAAATGATGTGTGGCGGATTGCTGCTTCTAGGCTGGAGGGATGGAGAGCAGGAAAGGAAGAGAGGATGGATGAACCAATGGACCAGTCTTCAAGAGACAGCTCCCAAAAGTGCAGCGAAGCCAGCAGAACGAGCGTGGATGTGGTGTTCCTCCTCCTGAGCCTCACGCCTCCTGCAAAATGCGTGAGTGTGACGTGAGAGAGTGTATCTGAGAGAGAGAGGTGTGGTGTCGCCCCCTTCAGTGAGATGCTGGAGTTCTTCCCCCTTTGGTCTGATTTCCTTCCTCCTCAGCTGCTGCAAGCTGAATGCACTGAGGAGATGCTGCCTTTTCTGTTTATCTCACCCTTTCACTCGCTCACGCTCCCTCTACCCTTCCTCCTCTCACTCACTCACTGAGCGTGCTCACTGGCTGCCTCCCCTCTCCTCCTCCTCCTCCTCCTCCTCCTCTCCTCTGTCATCATCCTCCTACATCAAAGAGTGTTCGAGTGTCGTGCTGCAACATTGTAGCGCTGCGTGCCGTGTGCAGCCATTGGAGGGGGTTTCCTGCACGCATGCAAAGGGTGGAGTTCACGGTTGGAGACACCATCCGCTCTGCTCTGCAGGCCCCACCTTCTTCTCCTTCCATCCAGCCATTTTTGTTTACCCCTTTTTTTCAACGCGTTACACTTTAATCTGCTTCCTCACCACTGAGTAAACGAGGTGGAGGCATGCTCTTTCAGATAAGATCTGTAAAAATTAATGCATGACATCATCACTTAGTGATCCTGTCACTTATTATGTAAACCACAAGTTGTCTCTTAAGTGTTTTCTTTTTTTTATTTAAATCTTTCATAAATTTGATATGAATTCAGGGGGAGAAAAAACTAAAAACCAAATCGATCCAATTGTTTGTTTGCGTACCAACCAGATTAGTCAGGCAGTGTGCAAATCAGGTAAATGTTTTAATATTTTGACACGCTTTGGTGAAAAACATTTTAATTTGAACTCAGATAAAGTCCTGACTTCAGTCTTCTCAAACAAAGAATAATCTTTTTGCCTACAGCTGTATAGTCACTGACACTAGTCAGTGACTTGATGCAATTTGCTGGGTTCCTTATTTAGGAAACATTATTTCCGATTGGCTTAATGAACTGACCTGAATTGGAATGTTTATTATGTGAAGTGCCTTGAGACGGGTCTTGTCGTGATTTGGCGCTATATAAATAAACTTGAATTGAATTGAATTGAACTGATAACTAGCAGTCACAAAAATGCTTTTAAAAACATGGAATAGTTTTGGGCTTAAGATGAAAGGCATAATCCAGTTTTTTATCTGCACACAGTTCAAAAGTGAACATCTGTGAAAAGGGCACATTGGAGCGCGTTGGGGCTTGGGCCACTTGCACATCTGTCACATATGTGAAGACACTAAAATACTGAACCATGCGAGCTGGTTTGGCCCCCTGAAGCCCCTCTGCATAGACAAATCTAAAGCATTAATAAGTGTGTGATTGTGATTGTTTGTTGGATTTAACATGTTGTGTGTGAAGTCTCTAGGATTGATGATGATATTGTAAATACAATCATTGGCAATAGTATATCAAATTTTGTATGGGAGTGTAAGCTGAACTAATTTGTTGTGTTGATACAGTGTTTATTGGTGTGATATTGAAATAACTAATGTGAATGTAATATGGGGTGGGATTAAAGTTTTACTTCCTCCCACTGCTTTTCAAGCAAGGGCTAAATGATTGTTTCTTTTGTTTTAGTTCAGTTTTGTTGTGCATCGTCGCTTATGTATAAATACACATTTCTTTTTTTTAATGGCTCGAAATAAAGATGAATGAAAAGTGCTGATCTTTGTAATAATTCAGCCTAATGCAAGATATGGAACCAAAGCATGGGAATGAAATGATCTGAAATTGAGAAGAGACACTTAGACAATTACAGGTCTTTCTAAAAAAATTTGCACATTGTGATAAAGTTCATTATTGTCTGTAATGTACTGATAAACAGTAGACCTTCATACATGTTCAACACATTCTCACACCCAAGGCATCAAAATATGACGCGTGTGACCAAGCCTCAATATATGATGATTCGGGACGGCCCAGCGCGTCAGGAGACGACGATCAGGGACAAACAGTTGACGCAGCGTCCCAGAGCGTCGGCATCCGACGCCGGTGGTGAGACGGACATTAGAACCACTTTTGAACTACTTAACCTTCCCCTCACCCCAATCCTAACCTTAAGGTCACTGTTTATGGACCTTAAGGTTAGAATTGGGGTGAGGGGAAGGCCAAATAGTCGAATAATGTCTGTGTGACAGCGCGCGTCAAACAGTGACGTCAGCGGAGCCATATGACCCAGCGTGTCCCTGATCGTCGTCTCCTGACGTGCTGGGGCGTCCCGAATCGTCATATATTGAGGCTTGGTCACACGTGTCATATTTTGATGCCTTGTGAGAATGTGTTGAAATATGAGATTCATTACACACAACTGAAGCAGTTAAAGCCTTTTATTGTTTCTAATATTGATCATTTTGGCACACAGCTCATGAAAACCCAAAATTCCTATCTAAAAAAATTTGCATATCATGAAAAGGTTCTCTAAACGAGCTATTATCCTAATCATCTGAATCAACTAATTAACCCTAAACACCTGCAAAAGATTCCTGAGGCTTTTAAAGACTCCCAGCCTGGTTCATTACTCAAAACCACAATCATGGGTAAGACTGTTGACCTGACTGCTGTCCAGAAGGCCATCATTGACACCCTCAAGCAAGAGGGTAAGACACAGAAAGAAATTTCTGAATGAATAGGTGGTTCCCAGAGTGCTGTATCAAGGCTCCTCAGTGGGAAGTCTGTGGGAAGGAAAAGGTGTGGCAGAAAACGCTGCACAACGAGAAGAGGTGACCGGACCCTGAGGAGGATTGTGGAGAAGGACCAATTCCAGACCTTGGGGGACCTGCGGAAGCAGTGGACTGAGTCTGGAGTAGAAACATCCAGAGCCACCGTTTACAGGCGTGTGCAGGAAATGAGCTACAGGTGCCGCATTCCCCAGGCCAAGCCACTTTTGAACTAGAAACAGCTGCAGAAGCTCCTGACCTGGGCTACAGAGAAGCAGCACTGGACTGTTGCTCAGTGGTCCAAAGTACTTTTTTCAGAGGAAAGCAAATTTTGCATGTCATTCAGAAATCAAGGTTCCAGAGTCTGGAGGAAGACTGGGCAGAGGGAAATGCCAAAATGCCTGAAGTCCAGTGTCAAGTACCCACAGCCAGGGATGGTCTGGGGTGCCATGTCAGCTGCTGGTGTTGGTCCACTGTGTTTTATCAAGGGCAGGGCCAATGCAGCTAGCTATCAGGAGATTTTGGAGCACTTCATGCTTCCATCTGCTGAAAAGCTTTTTGGAGATGAAGATTTCATTTTTCAGCACGACCTGGCACCTGCTCACAGTGCCAAAACCACTGGTAAATGGTTTACTGACCATGGTATTACTGTGCTCAATTGGCCTGCCAACTCTCCTGACCTGAACCCCATAGAGAATCTGTGGTATGCTGCGAAGAGAAAGCTGAGAGACGCAAGACCCAACACTCTGGATGAGCTTAAGGCCACTATCGAAGCATCCTGGGCCTCCATAACACCTCAGCAGTGCCACAGGCTGATTGTCTCCATGCCACGCCGCATTGAAGCAGTCATTTCTGCTAAAGGATTCCCGACCAAGTATTGAGTGCATAACTGAACATGATTATTTGAAGGTTGACTTTTTTTTGTATTAAAACACTTTTCTTTTATTGGTCGGATGAAATATGCAAATTTTTTTATATAGGAATTTTGGGTTTTCATGAGCTGTACGCCAAAATCATCAATATTAGAAACAATAAAAGGCTTGAACTACTTCAGTTGTGTGTAATGAATCTAATATATATGAAAGTCTAATGTTTATCAGTACATTACAGAAAATAATGAACTTTATCACAATATGCACATTTTTTGAGAAGGACCTGTACTTTCAAGTTGTTACTAAGATAACCTAAACAGCAAAAACACTGTGTTTCCTTGATAAGTACCTTCATATTGTATTTTATCTGTGCTTTCTGCAGGATTTCTCAGTTGTCTGAATTTTCAAGTAACAAGCAGAGGCTCAACCTCCCTTTGCTTTCAGGATTTCTCCTGCCCTGAGGCATTTCACGTTGCAGTTCATCACAAGAGGCCATATTAACCCTGCAGCACCATCCAGATAAAGGGACGCAAGAAGCTAAAACAACAGGTCTGAAAGTAGAAAAGATGTTGAAATTGAAAGAAACATTGATGCCGGCCATAATGGAAACATGCAAGGCTGTACCTTAAACTGAGTCTTTGTGATGTTGGTGATCTCTGTCCAGATTTCTGTTGAGGGGAACCATCAGACTCCCAGGTTTCTCTCTGGATATCAAAAGAACATGGAAGCTTTAGTATTAGCATTAAAACGGGTTATAATTAAACAATTTTGACTAAATATAGAAAATGTTTTACTTGACAATCTGCAATTTACTTTAAAGCAACACTAAAAAAGTTTTAACACTTTGAGCTATTGCTTTCAAACTGGTTTCAGTGAATCTTGAGCAAAAAAACTTGAGCAGTTACACATTGGACAGCCCTCTGCAGCTCTCTAATGACCAGGGGTCTCATTTATAAAACATTGTGTACAATCCTTACTAAAACCGTACTTAAGCTCAGCAAAAATAATTTACTTACGCCAAGTAGGTTTGTGACCTATAAAACATGGAGTACGCACAGCTGCACGTAATTTCCACGTTATAACTCAGAGACTAACGAGAAAGGTTTTCAGCTGCTTTTTAGTCACATCCCGCCCTAAACACGCCCACTTTCTGTCATAAATGGTCAACAAAAAGTGCCCTTGGATCTCATGTGTATACATAAGCTGGCTTGTTGCAACATTTCGATCCCGACTGCAGATCAAGGAAGTACTATTTCACAAGCAGAAATTGAGGTACTTTTGGGTGAGGTAGAAAAATGAAAGGAAGTGCTTTTGCAAGCAAATAAGAGAAAATCCACGAGGTGGCAGAGTGTTGCTGAAGCCGTCAATGTTGTGAGTTCTGCAGAGAGATCTGTGGCAGATATAAAAAACTGGTCCAATCAGGATACGATCCCCAGACTCCCGGGTGAGAGTCACACTTGCTAACTAGTCAGCCAAACAGAGATCTCCCTTGAACAAGTTGCCAGGGCGCATCATCAATCGGGTCACAGTGACAGGACGCTCACACTATCACAGACGCATGACATTGGGTGTGTCCGAATCCACGGGAAGGATTCTTGTAAGAGCGCATTTTGAGGTCGAAGACGTCACAGCGCAGTGACGAGTACTGTCCGAATTCCAAGAATACTCATTCTCGCCTCCTCAAATGCGTCCTCGCTCTGCCCACATTTCGAGGACGGGTCATTTGTATCCTCACAGAAC